AAGTGGCCTCAGTTTGCACTATTTCTGGCAGTCTGCAAAGGCCCAAAGACTTATAAGTGGGTAGAACACCTTTTGATGCGGTTCCTCAACCTGGAACCATCAGGTGTGATGGTGTGTATGTGTGTGTGTGTTGCAAGTTACACAAGGGTTGCAATGCAGCAGTTGGCTCAAGGGATGTAATCTGAGAAGGTGGACAGGATTTAAGTCAATACATATAGAGAGACAGGGGTGTTGTTATTGTTGTTGCTGTTATTGTGTGCCTTTAAGTTGTTTCCAACTTATGGCGACCCTAAGGCCATATCATGGGGTTTTCTTGGCAAGATTTGTTCAGAGGAGGTTTGCCCTTACCTTTCTCTGAGGCTGAGAGAGTGTGGCTTGCTCAAGGTCACCCAGTGGGTTTCCATGGCTGAGCTGGGAATCGAACCCTGGTCTCCAGAGCCATAGTCCAAGACACAAACCATTAGGCCACACTGGACTGCCCTTCCCCTTATCCCCAGCCACTGTGGCCATACTGATGGGGGGATAATGGGAACTGTGGTTAAGCCAACAAATTAGGAGCCAGGAGACAGTGGTCATATCAGCCCCATAGGGATCCGAGATCCAAAAAGGTAGCAATCCTAAACCCACCTCCTAAGTCCTTGTTTGGCTGGTGGGATCCACCAAAGGCTTAACGTTTATTGATCTCAACCATAAGATCTTTTCGGATCGCAGCCATTTTCGATCCACTTGTTCCCAAGAGATCCCTAGAAAGAACAACCTGGAGAGCCTTCATCTTGGGTGGATCTGAATTTGAGGTGGTGGGTGGCTATCATAGAATGGTAGAATTGGAAGGAAGAGACCACAATCTGGGGAATCAGATTTTAGGAGCAGGTCGCAGAAAGGCAGCAAAAGGTGAAATTCGGATTGTGGAGCGACTGCGTCAAGAGCGATTTGAGGATTCTGGGTCTAGCCAATTCGGATTCTGGAGCATTAGGCATCTTGGTGTCGTGGTTTGAGCGTTGGACTATGGCTCTGGAGAGTAGGGTTCAATTCCCAGCTCGGCCATGGAAACTTACTGGGTACCTTGGGCAAGTCACACTCTCTCAGCTTTAAGAAAAGGCAATGGCAAACCTCTGCACAAATCTTGCCAAGAAAACCTCATGAGAGGTCCGCCTTAGGGTAGCCATAAGTCGGAAAGGACTTGAAGGCACACAACCACAATCACAGTATCTGTCTCTATTACACACCCATATTATTATTTTATTATTATTATTATATTGCCTTAAATCCTGTCCATTTTTTCAGATTAGGCCCATTGAGTCAACGCTTGCATTGCACCTGATGTGCCTTCAAGTCCTTTCCGACTTATGGCGAGCCTATCGTGGGGCTTTCTCGGCCAGAGTTGTTCAGAGGGGCTTTGCTCTTGCCATCCTCTGAGGCTGAGAGAGTGTGACTTGCCCAAGGTCACCCAATTGGTTTACGTGGCCGGGTCAGGATTCGAACCCTGGTCTCCAGAGTCATAGTCCAACACCAAAATCAAAATCACTACACCACTTGTGTAAATCCCACTAAAGTAGAGAGCCCCTGAGGAGGAGTATTTGATTCAGAGCAGAAGAGCAACAAACAGAAGTATTTGATTCCGAGCTGCTCCTCTGTGCGATGCTCCTTCCTCTCTGGAATGGCCCGGACTTCGAAACCCATCATCCCGAATCGCCTTAGCCGGGGGAGAATGGGGATGGTAGTTCAGCCCCTCGGATGGGGCCTCGCTTCACTGTAGGATGGTCCTCCCTCTGGCTACAGCTCCCATCATCCCGAGTTCCCCCAGCCGGGGGAGGATGGGGATAGTAGTCGAATACCTCGGAAGGGGGTCCCGCTCCACTGTGGGATGTGCTCCTCCCTGGAATGGCTGGGGACTACAGCTCCCATCATCCCGAGTTGTCTCA